TGTTTTTTCTTTCTGTTGTAAGTAAAAGAAGCACGTGATTGCGAGTGCTATCCTTGTCGTCACTTTCAGTAGTGCTTGCCCATACTTTTCATCACCTCATACAATCTACAATTGTTCCATAGGAGGAGACCTCAATATCTGAATTCCTGTAATTTATCCACCGCACCATTGTCTACTGTGATCTGCTGTGGAATCATGTAGCTCCCAAATTCCATATTTGTTGTTGTTAAATTCAGGTTGAGTCTACATGGCTGCTTATGTTATTCAGCCTTCATACTGTAGATTAATTTGCTCTTCAGTTCTCTTGGCTCCCACTACATCTACTGTATGTTGTTACTGGTCTTTATCCGATGCATTAATATTCCATGATCATCGTCTTTAGGCTAATCCATTATCCTTTCCATGGTAGATCAAAAACGTTGTAGTTGATACAGGATCTTCTTGTCATGTGCATGATGTCTGATGAAACCATTCTCCAACTCCTGGTAGCTTGGGAAAAATACGTAAATGTCTATAGTTTTAGTACATGACACTGCCACGTTGGTCTTCAATTGAAATCTGTGATACTCATTTGCCTCCCTATTTCACTTCCTTATCAGCATTTTACTGTGGGTATTTGCACAGAATATTTCTATTAATCATTAGCAGGTATTAAGATTAACAATAATAAATAACAATTGTAAATACTGTGACATAAAGGACTATACCACAGGTAAGAAATGATTTAATTCATTTAAATGATTTAAATGATACTGGATGCATAGTTTCTTGTGTTCTTATGCATAGCATTGTTACATTATTTCTGTTATTAAAATTATCAAAAAGATTTATAAAAAATATACTTCTATATTTAATATAAATATACAAATATAATTATGTTCCCTATCCCTCCTACCCAAAGTGGATTATTAAAAATATTTTTGGGATTTTAAAGGAAACTTTATACAGTAGGCGTTTGAAATTAAATGTTGCTGCTCTGTAGCTCCTTAAATTATCCGAGGATTAGAAATAAATTGTGCTCATGTTGTACTGCAACAAGCATTAATTACAGACTTTTTGTGTGCACAGATCATTTCAGATGCTCTCATCCGCTCTCTTACCACATAGACAGTCAAGCAGGAAAACAAGAGCGATTGAAATCATATGTTCTAAACATAAAAAGAATTCCACACAGCAAGATTTACATTTTTTTTTATTTTTGGGACAGCGTCTTAAAATATGTATCATTTGTAAATACTTTTAAAACCGTGTCTTGAACATTTCACATTTCATCTGTATGAAAAAGACATGCATTTTAAAAATAGTCCTAGTCTGACATGTAGAGACATAATTCTTAAATGTCATATTACTTTACAGTATGGGATATTCATTGTTTCAAGAGAGAATGTCTAAGAATCTAAGCCAAAGTCTGGAAATGGGGGGATGATTCATCACACTGCCTAATAGTTCCGAGAACACAGCTGAGTTTATGGCAACACTGGAATGATAAGGTACAGTAGCTGAGAAAGAGGCTCTTGGATGTCAACATCCAACCCCATTATAAAAGCAACGATGAATTGAACTGTTGTGCAACAATACAATATTGTTTTCTAATGGGCTTAGAATTTGGGAGCTCCTTAAAAAGATCTGCACTTCTTGCAGGAATGTTTTTCTAGTACAATAACCAATAAATATGGACACATTTAATTACAGTATTTAATATCACGTTAATTTAATATCAGACTACACAAATCAAGAAATTACAAAATTAAAAATTATGATAAGGCTAAGAAACCTTTAGTATATTCAACAGAATTATTGTATTTTTATGTCCTTTTTATTGTTAGATAAAAGTTTTCTTAAATTTAATGTACAGGACATCATTTGGCAAAAAATAATTAATTAATTCAAGAGAATTTAACCTTAAGTGTTTTATGCAACATACCATACCACAGGTTCTCAAATTCTTATTTAAGAATATGTTGCTTCTACTCCCAGCTTCTTTTTGTGAACAGTGAAGTGACTAAAATTGAAAACTGCTGTAGAAATCTTAAATTGCAAGGGATAATTCCACTTTGCCTTTTAAATAATAGGATAACATTCCATTCCCTGCAGGGGACACATTAATCAGTTATATAACTGTGAAGAAAAAAAATGGAGCCTTATCTGAGAAAGGGTACATTGTCTTTTTATTATGTTCACTTAATTCAACCACAGTGCCAAGGAAAAGATCATGAATCCCCAATATAATTATAGAACTTACAATTTCCTACCATTATACCCTTGTTTAAACTGAAACCAGTCTTTGCTTAAATAATCAAAAGGGTTTCTATTTACCATTTCAAAGTTTTGTGAGAAACAAGGGTGTATGAAGCAAACAAATGCTTAATTAAAAATTGGTGTACAGTATGTGAAATTATAAACTAACCCCTAATTTACGTATCACAACTGTGGGGGAAAGTAGAACTAGGTGGTTAAATAATTGGGCAACGGGTACCGTCCACATGTGTCACATATCTGAAACCTAAAATGTTATTAGATCTACAGTAAGTCCTAATAATAGATAAAGTCGATAAAGTCATCTGAATCAAATGACACAAAACACGATACTCTTTCAACATTAATTTATTCTCAAATGCTGCAACATTCAATATCCATCTGTGACAAAGGATATGAATGTTTAGGTTCCGTAACTGGTGCCAGACCCTTGACCAGTAATTCCTGCAGCTACACGTCTCTAACCATTGATCGGTCTCTCATACCGGTTTTGAGGAATTCTGGCCGATTCCTCCTCACAGAACTCCTTCAGCTCTGTGACGTTTGAGGTCTGCCTTGCATGGACAGCTTGCTTCAGGTCCTGCCACAACATCCCGATGGCGTTAAGGTCCAGGCTTTGGCGAGACCATTGTAAAACGTGGAATTGCTTCTTCTGCAGCCATTCTTTTGTCGATCTGCTTGTAACACAGCCTTTTCTGCAAGACCCCCTTTCGATTAAGCTTGAGGTCAGGGACAGATGGCCTGACATTCTCCTCTAGAACCTCCTGACGCAATGCAGGATGGATGGTTGTGACAATGTCGACACTGTCCCTGTCTTGAGACTGTAAAGCTGCCCCAAACAATCACACTCCCAACACAATGCTTGTGAGGTGGGACGAGGGTCAGCAGTTCAAGAACAGTGTTTGGTTTTTTGCCAAGCATAACATTTCTCATCGAAGCCAAAGAGGCCTGCCTTTGACTCATCTGTCCTGAAGTCTTGTCTAGGAAGATCAACACCGTTCTCGTTCAGTAGTTTTCTGATAGTTGAGTCATGAACAGTCACATCGGCTGCAGAGGGAGAGGTCTGCAGTTCCTTGGATGTTACCCTTGGGTCTTTTGTAACTTCCTCGATGATTTTCCATTTTGTTTTTGGAGAGATTTTGGTAGGATGGCCGCTCCTGGGCAGTGACTGTGGTCTTGAACTTTCTCCATGTGTCGAATTTCTGTCTGACAGTGGATTGACTTTTTCTGGCCTGATGAGCATTAATACCTCCGTTCCTGACGTCTTCGAAAATTTCCTTCGATTGTGGCATGACTTGTTTTCAATCACCTGTCTGGGAAAGACACACTCATAATGTTTCTGATCTTTATTGGGTGAAGTATTCCAAAGTTAGCTGCCAGGCTCTACGGAATTATTTGAACATCTGATTCCAATGACGTAACTGAACCAATTAAACTAGGGGCTTGCTTACTTTTTCAGTTCCCCTGCAAAACTATGAGTATTTAGTCATTGTTTGTTAAATCCATACATCTTTGACTTTGTGAGTTGATTGTTCACCGTTCAGGTTAATGGTAACATGTCATAACACGATCCAGATTTCAGAGGACAATGTGTTTTGTGTATATTGTGTTGTCGTGTTATTTCTGCATGTTAATGTTACTTTACTATCTATAATTAAACAATAAAAAGCTCTATAAAATACAATAAAATAATAAAATATTTTGATACTTATTAGTCTGGAGATGCTTACAAAACAATTCCTAAAATCTGGTGCTCCATTCTGCATTGTCCACTCCACTCCACTGTCAGACACATACGGTAATATAGACCATAATAAATCTACCCAAGAACAGTTATCTTGCTAAGTTATCCCCAAAAACAACTCAGAAAATTATCCAAAAAGTCACAAAGAATCTCAGAGTAACATCTAAGAATCTGCAGGTCTCTCCTGTTGTAGTTAATGTAAGTGTTTAAGCCTCAATAATCAGGAAAGGATTGAATGGAGTATGGTCTTCATTGACAGAGCCATCCACTTGTCAGGTGAAGCTGACCTGAAAATGGGTCATTCAGACAGACAATGATCCTGGACATGCAAGCGGAGCTACAGCAAAATGACTAAAGAAATAGAAGATATTTTGGACTTTGGACTGGCCAAGTCAAAGTCTGGATCTCAATCATGTTATGGCAGAACAAGGAGTGGACTGCTCATGCACGGAAACCTTCATATGTCACCAACCTGAAGCAGTTATGTAAGGACAAATGGGACAAAATTCCTAAAATGTAATGTGAGTGATTGGTAAATTATTACAGGAAATGTCTAGTTTAAGTCATTGTTGTTCAAAGGGGTGCCACCAGTTACTCAATTTTTGACGTTTACTCCGATGAGTATTTATTTTTAAATTATTTTGTTAAATAAATGATCCAAATATACTGTATGTCTTAGTGTTCTACATTTAATCATGTTATCATAATATTTTATTAAGACTTACATGAGGAATCCAATTACATATTTAATTCTAAAATACACAAGACTATGGAGTAAACTAGGAGGATCACAAATGTTTCCTCAGCACTGTATTGAATATGAGCTCAACTTACAGTAGATCAGAAATATACTGTAGCACTCTTGGGTGAGTATGCGCCCTCGCCACTGGGGACTCGAACCCAGGCCTCCGGCATCACTCAACAGGCACTCAGCCAGTTAAGCTAAAGGGAAATCTCCCATCAGCCCGGCGGCTGAGGTCCCTGCTATTCACAGGGAAGGGCGGTGACGTCACTGCACTGGTAAGCCAGCTCTCACAACCTGCAATGTCGGTTGTATGCGTTACAATACATTTCTTTAAAAAACAAAACAAGTTGGTATAATACATACAATATAAAACAAAGGTTAGTGAAACAAATATTTTACTCTGTTTTTTTTCACTTAAATGTGGTTTACTTAATTTAACAAACTATGGGCACAACTGATTTTAAGTATTGTTGAAGCATTAAATATGTAATATAAAATATAGGGCAGTCACTTGGATAAAAGCTAAACAGATTGGATATATTAATAGAATAATATTATAAAGGTTTGTGTGGTGGTTAAGTAAAGCTTACACAGTGTAATCCAATTAACATGACATGAATACAGATATTAACACAGTAATATCTATAACTTTGTGGGTACAGTAAAGTTTGCAAGTGAAATCTTTAAATTAAACATAAGATTTGATATCAGTTCTAGTAAAGTATATCATTGTTGTCATTCTACAGCTATCACAATCAATACAATAAAGATGAAGAATTTTCTTAATTACATATGGATAAGGGTATCATTGAAATGCAACTACTGTAGGTACATTTTCAGTCATGGAGTGTTCTATAAAATAGAGCTTATAAAAGTCTATTTTGAATGATATATTCTTTTGAAACACATGGTGTTAAATGTAACTATATAACTTTTACTGTATATAATCGCTCACATACAGTACTTCTCAAGTAAAAGATAATACAAAGTTTGATGAAGAAACTACTAAACAAGAACTATACATTCTTTAACAGTTGATTTGTGTTGAAGCGCTTGACATTATATAGTGTCATTGACATTTCAAAATAATTTATAAGTCGGTTAAACTAAATATTAAACCCAGATGCATTTCAGCTACAGTCATAGGGATTACAACATCAGTGGGAATAAATCATAATATAACAAACATTACCTTTCTGAAGGTACTGTAAATCATCCACTGGGAAATGATCATTTGTCATCAGAGTTCAGAACAAAAGGAAACTTCCCAACTTCCCAGTCACCTTTCATCAGTTACAAACCCAGTACTCTACACGACAGCACAGGACAAATCGGGACTGCAAATAAAAACCAGCCATCACATAGCCTATAAAACATATGAAATAAAAATGAAAGCAAACCATCTGAGCGCTGAAATAGTGTTTATTTAATATTCAAAAACTCTCTTCCCTTTGGCTTTTATTTCTGAATAAAAAGCACTTATCAGAGCAGAATAGAGGATTCATATCTTACTTCCCTTACTTACAATTATCAGGCTGAAGAAGCAATTAAGTAGTCTCATGTCCAAAACAGCAGAGAATGGATGGATGCCTACATCCAGAAAAAAATAATTAATCCGGGCAGTTTTGATAAGCTTAATTATATCCCTTTCTTTCACCTGATGAGTTATGGAAAAGTGTTGACCTGTCAGATCACATTTGGGAAAGGCTCTGCTGAAATCAAGAAAAACAGTAGATGAAAATGCCAAAATACCACTGACAAGTTGTTATAGTTAATAATTCAGCAGGCTCTGTTAAGAATGTTCTACATACAGTACAGTACTGTTCCAGCAGGACCACTGTTATCCTAATGAAGTGGATCAGTGGCATTAAACTCAATTCCTGGAAGCCCTAGTGTCTTCTTAACAAATTATTTTCTTAGCCATATTTATTTTGCTCAGGATTTTATTACAGTTGATGAGGCAAAAACATTCAATCCATTAAAGGTACCATTACACATGATCAGCTAAGAACCTGGTTAGAAGTATTACGATTATGCAGTTAACTAAACAACTAGACCAGCTCATGGAGACAACCCAGAAGACATTAGCTCCCTCCAGGAGCTTAGTTTGAGACTTCTGCTACAGTATAAAGAAGTATGATTAGAGTAATGTGCACAAAAATTCAACACTCTTCGTGCGGGTCAATATCTTTTTAAAAAACCTACTGTAAGTCATTTTTTTTTTGTCGTGAAAACAATTCGAAACGAAAAAGGAAAAGCAACGATGTCGTTTTAAAGATTTTATTTTAAAAAACACCCATTGAAAACACCCCCATGATGGCTCCTCTTTTAAAAAAAAAAAACCCTGAAGAAAGGCAAAGGTCGGATTCCAGCGAAAGACTTCATATGGAACAAGCGCAAAAACAAACAACAAAAAACAACAGACCTATTGTTTGGCGATGCCCTTGATTAAAAACGACAGGGATACAGTATGTAAATCACGGGTACTTTGCTTAAATGTTACCGCTGCGCTGGTAAATTGCGTGCTGTTCACACCTGTTCAGCGGAGAGCTGCGCCGATCTTTGCTTCCGACAGAGGGCTGTGTAAGACTGAGCATGCGCACAATCTATTATGACACCCTGGCTTCTGCTGTCACAACGTTGAGGGGCACACTGACTGCTGTGTGGGTAAGAAATTAATAACATTACATACAACAGCAGGGATAGTGCATTATATTTGTAAGGGGGAGAAAGTAAACACTTGAACAAAGCGGCTATATTCACGGGAGGCGAATCCGACATAGCTCAGAGGAGATCTAAAAGAGTGTTTTCCTACGGCGTTGAAATCCGTTTTGAGATAATCTATGTTTCTTGTTAGCCCAACATATTATAAGGTGCTTTTTTCTCCTCCTGGTGCTTCTTCACTTATCAAAAGCCATGAATAATTTTCATTTTTTTTATAGCACTCAATGGGTTTACAGATCTTTCAACGTAAATTGTAACCAGGAGTCTAAAGTGAAACTATTATTTTTTTTTTTGCTCTCGGAAATGTTTCCTTTCTATTTTGTCATTCTGAAAAATTTTGATAGAGTGCAACTCTTCCTGAAAGTCTGTCATTGCTCTCCCCTGGGTGACAGCTTTTTAACACCAAAATGTGTGAAATTGTGTTTTATATTGTTGTATCTTGTATAATGACTTGACCTCGGCAGTTCATCCAGCATTTTTGGTGCTTGTTCACCCACTTGGTGGGTCAGTTTCCTCTTGCAGTTTTATTATAATTTGTTTCTTGTTTGCTTTAAATACCTCCGCCATTTTGATTGTAAATGTTGTTTTTTCTTTTTCTTTTGGCGTTTAAAAACACTGCTTTCGAAAATGTACCGAAAAGCAGTTTTCCGTCTCTACGCATTTGATGTGAAATTACTTATTCCTAGTGAAGTTTTTTTCCCCTTAGCCATGATCAAATTGCTACCCGCATCTTTTTTGTTGTTGTCCTGTGCAATGATGCTAAATTGCAGTCAGTTTATTTCTGCAAGTTGTAGTTTAGTGTAAATAATTGTGACGAAACTGGGATTTGCTAGGAAGTCACCATTAAATTCTTTTAAAAAAGAAATCATTGTAGTTTTTCTTGCTGACACAAAAAGCGATATAATAATTTCAAAATTTGACGGCTCGTATGCATTTTGTTGATCTTACAAGTGTGTTTGCAAAACATTCGCTTTAATAATATTGGGGGCAAAGTGTCATTATTGTCTACTTTTGTGAAACTATGGAACACAGGTAATATCAACATACTATACTCCATAATTCCCTGAAACAAATATACATTTAGAACAATTTCCATTTTACTTTTAGTTATGAGGTGAAAAATTCAACTCTGAAGTCCCCATAAAAGTACTTGTGCTCATGACCCGTGTTAGCAACAAAACAGAACTTTTCTTTTTATTTGTACTTGAGATCCCAGACTGATTAGCACTTAAAGCTGTTGTAGCCTAATTCTGTGTAAAACTGGAGACCCTTTCTTTTAGCAGTGTGTGTATTCAAAGCATAACGAAAAGTGTTCCTCTATATTAAGAGCACAGTAAAAAGAATAGACACCTTCAACATTAGGGTAAGTCAAATTGGAATGCCATAATGGTGTGCTTTTTTATTTTGTGTTTTGATCCCAGAATTAATGAGCTAAAATGATTTTACCTAAAACTATGACTCATGCTGTCATGAGTGGACATCAAAATTCCACTCTATATGTTCATAAAAGTTTTACATTCTGTTTCAAAACATCTGATTCATTTTTAGCGAGTTAGCAGTTAGATTATAAGTGATACGCAGAGGTTGCCATAGTATTTTTTGGCACTTAATAATACATTTTTTTTGCTAGACTTGTTCTAAATTTATTGCAGATTAAAGCTTACTTTTGTGGACAAGCAAAGCATGTGGCACTCGATTTTCTTTTCCATCAAAATTCAATTGCACTAGATTATAACTTTTGACAGGAAATGTCTGTTTTTGCAAACTTAGTAGGAATATGCATCTGTTAGAGCTTACCATTGAGCTTTGTGACAAGTTGCTACAGCTTCTTGTTAATCGTATAAAAGCAAGGATCATTGTAATTCTTTTTTTTTACATACAGTCTGCTTTTCTTGGTCTTTATTGCAAATAAGAACCTCAAAGTAAAGTTCTTGAGAAACGTTTGCCTAAATATTTAAGTGTACCCTGGATCAGTTTATGCAGATATTGACGTTAGCCTGTTTTCATATCAGATTACACTCTCTGCAACTCTAAATGATGGGGTTCTTACCAAATCCATCCTATCAGAATCAACATCAATACATTATTCTTGGAACAAAAGTTAGATTCTGGTTTCAAGGTGTTACTTCCTCCATATTGACAGAGAATGTGGCACACACTTGTGGACTAAAGTTGACCTTAATGTAAACTTTCATATCAGTCTGCCTTCGTTACAAACTGAACTGCAGGTCATTTACGAGATACAATAGGCTGCTTTTGTTTTAATGATGCTTGGTTTGTCTGGCATTTCCTTGTATATGTACTTCAGAATGAGAGATGTACTGTATGTTAGTATTCAAGACATCAAGAAATCATCAAGAAATTTTAAGATACAGTGACAGGAAATTGTCACAGATGTTTTATCATTTGCGTTGTTAACGCTTTCAGAGAGTTTCATGTTGTGAAGGTTTTCTAATCATTGTCCTTTTTTTCCACAATTTCTTGTCGATGTGTCTAAGACAAGATAAATGAAGAGTTAAAAGAAAAAGCTTTGTTGCTTAAAAGTTTATGCTGATACGTGCTACCCTTGTACTAATTAAAAATGTCCTGGTTATTTCGGCATCAAAGTGGGAAGCTTTTGATTGTGCTGTTACTGCACAATGTCCGAATGACATAAGCTCTGTATACAGTATAGGCCTAATTCACGAATCTGGAAGTACCCTAACAGAGGACAAAAAGAACAAAAGCAGGAATACAGGGTACACTGGAGTTAGTGCATGAGTACAAGAACACTCTTTTCATTTCTCAGTTGATACAGTGGGGAGTTCCATATCACCTAAAGAAATATCACAGTAGTCCTACATCTGACTAACTTTATTTTTTTTTTATAAAATGCAAAAGGTAGTTATTTGTAAATGATATACTGTACAGTACACAGACTAAGTTTCGGATGACTGTGTGAGTGATGTTTGTGGAATTGTAAGCCTTCAAAAACTCTAAGGCTGTTCTTTAAATGTGTTTGCTGAAATGATTTTTAAAAAAACTCCAATTCAGTGTTAAGGTTTGATGTCTTTGATTTTTCCCACATACTGAAGCTTGGTTTCAGGTGATTGTATAAAGTGTGCCTCAGTCAAGATCACTGTGGCCTTGTGTGTGACTCTGTCATCTAGTGTGTCAGTTTGTATAGTAAGGATGCAGTATGCTGTTCTAGTCTTAGTTTTCTGTATTCGATGTTATGTTTTTGCCTTCCTCGAACTGCATGATTTTTAAAGTAATATTATATGGTAGAGAATTGAAATACAGAGTAAAAGATTCAAAAGTGATCGAGTAACAATTTCTTTCACTTGATTTCATGTCTGGATAGAACTGTGCATGATAATTAAGATTACACACATAGCCTGAGGAATTCCATAAGACATCCAAAGCCAACGGCTGATTATTATTATTGTTATAGTGAAGGCAGCTTTGTATTGACAAAAAAACATTCTAGCCAGCCATGTACAGTATCTGGTTTTCTCACAGCCTTCTAAGTTTATGGTTCAAAAGATTCAGTTGCGTAAGTCTATTCCAGAGCCACAATATCTCTTTTTGCAGTTTGTCCACCAAATCTGTGAACAATATTCTCAGTGAGGTCTTACTTGTGCATTGTGTAATTTTAAAATAACATGAGATATATACAGTACTTACAGGTGCTGAATTCCTGACATTTTTTGTTTTGCTTTTTTATTTCTTCCTCACCACCTTTAGAAAATAAAGGTTTTCTTCTTCATTTACCATTTCTTACCACAGTCTTGGATTTTTCTTAATTTTTTCAGTCTTTTATTCATATTCTGCAGTGTTTATAGACCTCTTAAACAAGATCACATATTATAGCAGAATAATTTAATAAGCATACCAGAATCAAGTAAATTTCTGTAAGTTAAGAAGAGCAGTACTGCACTAAACACATCCTCTCCAATCTGAGCATTCACCCCTTATCTGTATTCTTTTTTTCTATCCATTAACCAGTTCTCAGGAGAATTAAGAAAGTCTCATTATAGCTTGTTAAATTTATATCCACTATTGCTGTTGCTTGTTCAATTCTCACATGTTAGTTAAGCATGACCTGTGCTTTCTAAATCCATGTTGATTATCCTCTATTAATTTAATATTAATAAAATTGCAATAGAGATTACATGGCAGCATAGCTTGTTCCGTATTCTGAGAGCCCTTTCTGTAAAGAAGATATCTTATTCTCAGTTTGAAATCAGTGTCCACATAATTTTGGCTTGTGTTTTCTGCCTCATGTTTCATTCCTTATTCTGAAGTCTGTGGGGTTAAACTTAGCATGTTTTAAGATTATAAATTTGTGAATCTGGTCCCCTTGAAGTCTTCTCTTCTCAAGACTTATAAGGTTTATAGCACTGACTTAGTCTACAGTAGCTTCCAATATACAATGGAAAAGAAGAATCTCTGAATAAGCAGGGAATGTTAGTTCCTTTCTGTGTTTTTCTGTCTTGATTTTCACATATAACTTAATATTGTAATTTAATATTGGTTTAATATTGTCTCATCACCAGTACCCATGAGCTCTCTTAATAACAAGGTGAATTAGTGTGATGCTTAAAGTCAGTCCTTCAAATTGATGCTACATACAGTATATCTAGCAGTGATGCATGATCTGAAGTGTACTGTATGTTAAAGATGTTCAAGTAGGTAGCTGCGTCAGCATGTGTGGGCTACAAAGGAACAAGTAAAGGCTTATTCCACGCTGTAAGGAAAAGAGACACAATGTTTCGGCTGTGGAGCCTTCTTCAGGTGTGGTGTGTTTGACGCCTGAAGAAGGCCCCACAGCTGAAACATTGTGTCTCTTTTCCTTACGGCATGGAATAAACCTTTACCTTTTCCTGTGAAGTGTATCTTTATCATAATGCATTTTTAAAAAATGAATTTGGAACTAAAGTTCTCATTTTGATTATATAAAC